GTCATTACACTTCCACCCGATCCGCCTGTAAGTGTTTTAATGAGTCACTTGTTTTGTTCCCTAAATAGACTGTTAGCAATTTGACACATAGAAAAAGATGAATGAGAATGAGGAGTGTTTTAGTTTTCTGATGTTGCTGTAACAGAAATACTGTGAGAGGGTGGCTTTAAAGAACAGACATTGATGCCCTCACAGTTTAGGAGACTAGAAGTCAGAATTCAGGGTATTGTCAAAGGGGGGCTGTTCTTCTTTGTTAGTTCGGGTAACAACTACTTGTGTAGTTCTTGGAGTTCTTAGACTTCATTGTCAGATAGGTCTAGTGCCCTTTGTAGCTGCATGCACATCTCATTGTCGATGCTGTTCTTTATATAACTCAGGATCTACCCTACACTGCAGTCCTGGTGTGGCACTGTAGGCTAAGCACTGGGCAGCAAGGTTGGTTTTAACCACATGGGTGGTGGTTCAAGTCCAACAGCTGTTCCTTGGAAACCCTATATAGGGTCCCTATGAGTTGGAACCAGCTCAATGGCACTTAACAACACCTTACATTGGTATAATTGATTCTTTACATTAGATTGCATTATGGAAAGAGTCTGCATTACATTAGATTACATTACATTACATGCACAGGTATAGGGGGTTAAGATTCCACCATATATTTTGAGGGGGCGCAATTCAATTCATAACAGTAAAGTAATGAACATATGGATGAGTGGATGAGTAGGCGGAAAGATAGGTTGAAAAGTATACCAAAGGAAGGCTAAATGAGTTGTTGTGAAGTGCAGTCAAATCAGTTCCAACTCACAGTGACCTTGTATAGGGTTTCCAAGGAGTGACTGGTGGGTTTGAACTGACAACCTTATGATTAGCAGTCCAGGCTTATGCAACAGCGCCATGCCAGGATTTGGATATTTGGATGGGTTAGTGAGTGGATGGATGAGTGAGTAAATGGGCCAAGTGGTTAGTGAGCAGATGGGGATGGATGGGTGGAAACATGAATGTGTGGACATCAAATTAGCCAAAGTTAAAGATATGAAAACAGTTATATAGAAAATAATGTATGCTAAATGAGCTCTGGTAGCATAGTTGCTACGAATTGGGCTGTGAACCACAGGTCAGCGGTTTGAATCTACCAGCTGTTCTGTGGGAGAAAGATGAGGCTTTCTGCTCCCGTAAAGATTTACAGCCTCGGAAACCCTGTACAGGGTCATTATGAGTCGGAACTGACTCCATGGCACATAACAACAAGTATAATGTATAACATATGAAAATATAGAAGAAAGGAACCAATTTTAGCGAAATATTGTTGTTGTTGTTGTTAAGTGCCATGGAGTCAGTTTCTAAGTGCCATGGAGTCAGTTTCAACTCATAGCGACCCTGTACATGGTTCTGAGGCTGTAAATCTTTACGGGAGTAGAAAGCCTCATCTTTCTCCCGCGGAGCGGCTGGTAGTTTCGAACTGCTGACCTTAAGGTTGGCAACCCGATTCGTAACCACTACGCTACCAAAATATAAAAGACTAAAATTTATTCACAAGGGGTGGAGAGGCTATACCATTTATAAGATCAAATACAAAAAGAACACTAAAAAATCTACACTTGTTATAGAAAACAACTTGACCAAGGTGCATTTGGAGCTGATGTCTGTCTATTCTTCCAAGAATAAGAATTATTATTCTAGCCAAAAGATGGGCAGCTCAAACACACCAGCTACTCTTCAGATAGCACTAACAGCAACAACATATTGTAGAAAACATTCCAGAATATGGAACAAATTAGAAAGGTTCCCAACTAGTTTCCTAAGATGTTTTTTAAAAAAACAGCATGACCCAAATATCAAAACAAAAACTACAGACTAATTTTCTTATGACTATCTTGCTGTTGTTAGGTGCCATCGAGTGGATTTTTAACTCAGAGTGAACCCATGTGACACAGTAGAACTGCCCCATTGTGGTTTCTAGGTTGTAATCTTTATGGAAGCAGAGAGCCAGGTCTTTCTTCTGCAGAGCCACTGGGTGGGTTTGAATTGCTAACCTTCTGGTTAGCAGCCAAACAATTGACCATTGTGCCACTAGGCTCCTTTTTATGACTATGTTGTTTTTGTTAAATGCTGTTGAGTCCGTTCCAACTCATAGTGACCCTGTAAAGAGTTTCCAAGGAATGGCTGGTGAGTTTGAACCATTGACCTTGTGGATCAAACCAACCTTGTGGTCTAGTGCTTTATCCTATAGTGCTAAACTAGTTGCTAAAAGAACCAGTAGTGTAGTAATACAACTATCTACTTCAATATAACTAAGGTTATTCCATTAATGCAAGGATTGTTTCACATTCAAAACTTTAATATCTGTTACTATACCATCAAATTAGAATAAAAAAACATAATTACATAGCTAGATGCTTTTGACAAAACACAGCAGTCATTTCAAATGACAGCTGTAAATGACCAAAAAGGAAACAACCCAAGTGTGATTTAAAAAAAAAAAAAGAAACCTTTTTATCCCAAACCCAAAAACAAATGTCGTTATATACAGAAGAAACTATTGACTTTACAGTAAGGAACTAGACAGAGAAAGGTGCCAAAGTCTATTTATTAGCTTTAGTGTAGAAGTTCTATGTGATAGAAGAAAACAATGAATGTATATAAAACTAGAAAAAAGAAAAGTCAAATTTATCATCATTTTTCAGATGACATGATTTTAGATAAATACAAAGTAACCCAAATAAGAATTGTTCTAATTAATAAGACAATCTTGATAAAAGACAAAAATACAATTGATATATATTTTTTATTATGCTACTTCTAATGAATTATGGTGGTCCCTTTACCCATAGTGAGGGGTTCATGCACTGCAGCCCACAATTTGAGCAGCATTTGTCTTCCTGTCTGCAATCGTAATCCGTTTGGCACTGAGGTTTCTGAATCTCTAAACAGACTTCAGGCTTCAAAGGACAGTCACCTGGTTTGGCTGGAGACACACAGATGGAGTTAGGCACCATTAATATAAAATGAGATACTGCCCCCTGAATATTTGGTTATAGTTTAAAACACATTTGGGGAGTCTTGGGAACTCCAAACAGGATTTTCTTCTGATCAAGTTCTCCCTTTCAGTCTATTACCCCACTAGAGTCGTAACAGAGGAGAAGAGCTATAGCAAATCATTTAAAGAGCATCAAAAAATATTGCCATCTCAGATTCTGATAGAATTGCTGCCTGACCCTACAAAATGAAAGAATTTGGGTTCTATAACCCAGAGTACCTACCTGTTCCTACAAATTAATGAGTGTGCTGCTGCAGAATAATGTGCTAGTCTGAAAAGTCAGTTTGAAGCGCAAGGTCGGTGGATCTAGCTCACCAGCCGCTCCTTAGAAACCCTATACAGGGTCGCTGAGTCGGAACCACCTTGATGGCACTTAACAGTAACAACAATCCCACTGTTAGAGAGCACCCAGAATGTCTGTGGTTTATAAACTGTAGAAATTGAGGACTATGTAGGGGACGTGAATTACTTCATACCATGTAGAAAGCCCACTGTTAGAGAGCACCCAGAATGTCTGTGGTTTATAAACTGTAGAAATTGAGGACTATGTAGGGGATGTGAATTACCTCATACCATGTAGAAAGCCCATGGGAGCTCTGGTAGCGTAGTGGTTACGAATCGGGCTGTGAACCTTAAGGTCAGCTGTTCGAAACTACCAGGCACTTCATGGGAGAAAGATGAGGCTTTCTACTCCCGTCAAGATTTACAGCCTTGGAAACCCTGTACAGGGTCACTATGGGTCGGATTCAACTCGATGGCACTTAACAACAACAACAACATCACCACTCTGTACCTGAAAATACTGACAATTCCAGGGATCTGACCAGCTTGTTGTTGTTGTTAAGTGCTGTGGAATTGGTTTTGACTGATAACTTCCCTGTATAGGGTTTCCAAGGAACGGCTGAGGAGCTAGAAGTGCCGACGTTGCAGTTCAAACCAACCTTGCAGTCTAGCACAATAACCAGCAGGGCCACACCAGGACCGTGCTAGCCCAACACAATGTGGAGAAAAAGCAGCAGCCTTACGGCTTCCATCTTTCCCTAGCACACCATCGCAGGATAAGGACATGCTGTGCACGCTCTGAAGTTCTAGGCAGACCCGAGCACTGGTTAGGGATATACTTTTGGGTATGAATCAGGAGATATTGTTACCTTGTAGTGCACTAGAGAATGAGAACATATAAATGTTCATGGGGAAGGATGAGCAGTGATGTGTGATTGGTTTTGAAGAACAGCAAGATAGTCTCCAGAGGCCAGGAGGGCAACATGAGAGTACTTGCTGGTCACTGGGAAGGATAAGGTTCCTAGGGAATTTCATAGGTCAACCAGCCCAAGGGACAACTGGGGTATGAGGCATTCCCCATTCACAGGGACAGCAGAGCATCCTTATTATATGCTCAGGAGATCTGGGGAGGTATTTCCTTAGTCCTCACCTTCCCAGCTTTTGAGACAAATAAAGCCACACGTGGTGTCACAACATTTTTCAGTTAAGCTGCACTCAAAGTCACTCCTACATGCATTTGGACACTGCATGCGTTCCTTGAAGGAGAAGGGTGGACACTGCTTCTTCTTGGCTAAAACAAGAGCAGATGTGGTAAGCTCTAGCTCCTTCAAACCCTGCTCCATCCCACCACTCTTTCAACAGATTTTCTTTGTCTTTGAAACTAACGTCCTATACTGTGACTTGGCTCCTCTACACTGCGGGAGAATGAAGGTTTCACCATGTCAGAGAAGTAGAAAAAATGCTGGGCTGGTGGTCAAAAGCCCCACGGTAAACTTCCAGTCCTATCACTAAATGAGTGACTTCAGTTTACTTCTCTGTAAAATGGGAATCATTATGTGAAATCTATACAAATTCATGTAAACCATTTTAGAAGATTTGGTTTTACTTTGAATGGAATGAGGAGCCATTGCAGTGTTCTTGGTAGAAGAATGGCATGATCAGACTCATGTTTTGAAAGGACCATTGTGGCTAGTGTGTTGATAATGTTGCTTTTGTTGTTGTTGTTGTTAAGTGCTGTCAAGTCGATTCTAGCCCATAGCGACCCTGTATAGGATTTCCAAGGAGCAGCTGGAGAGCTTGAACCACTGACCTTGAGGTTCAAACGACTTTGCAGCCTGACACATTAGCCCACAGTGCCACACCAGGACTTCAACATCAAGTCAGCTCTCACTCACAGCAACCTTAGGTACAGCCTCCTTGTGTGTGCGCCATCCTCACAATCATTGCTATTTTTGAGCCTCTTGTTGTAGTCACGGTGCCAACTCATCTCATTGAGGGTCTTCTTTTTCACCGATCCTCTGCTTGACCAAGAATGTTGTCTTTCTCTAGTGATTTGTCTCTCCTAATGAAATGTCCACAATAAGAGAGACGAAGGCTCATCATCCTCTCATCTAAGGCATGTTCTGGCTGTATTTCTTCCAAGACAGATCTGTTTGTTCTACGGCAGTCCACTAATCTTCACCAACACCACCATTGTTATGGTTGTTAGGTGCCATCAAATTGGTACCATCTCATAGCAACCCTATGCACAACTGAATGAAACACTTCCCAGTCCTGCAGTAACCTCACAGTCACAGCTACATCTGAGCCCTTGCTGCCACCACTATACGCCAATCCATCACATTGCAGATCTTCTTCTGTTTCTCCAACCCTCCACTTTACCAAACATGATATCCTGCTCCAGGGACTGGTCCTTCCTGATAATATGTCCAAAGTATAAGAGACAAAGTCTGACCATCCTGGCTTCCAGGGAGCATTCTGGCTGTACTTCTTCCAACACAGATTGGTTTGCTCTTTGGGTAGTCTATGGTACTTTTAATATTCTCCTCCAATATCATAACTCAAATGTATCAATTCTTCTATGGTCTTCCCTTAGTCACTGTCCAACTTTTACATGCATATGAGGTTATTGAAAATACCATGGCTTGGGCCAGGCGCACCTTAGTCCTCAAACTGACGTCTTTGCTCTTCAACATTTTAAAAAGGTCTTTTGCAGCAGCTTTACCTAAATCAATACATCCTTTGATTTCTTGACTACTGCTTCCTTGAGTGTTGATGGTTGATATGAGGAAAATGAAGTCTTTGACCATTTCAATCTTGTCTCCATTTATATGGGTGTTGTTTATTGTTCCAATGGTGAGGATTTTTGTTTCTTTACATGGGTTGAGGTGCAACCCATACTAAATGCTGTGGTCTTTGATCTTCGTCAGTAAGTATTTTAAGTTCTGTTTGTTTTCAGCAAGCCAGGTTTTATCATCTGCTTATTGCAGGTTGTTAATGAGCCTTCCTCCAATCCTAATGCCACATTTTTCTTCATATAATCCAGTTTCTGAGAATATTTGCTCAGCATACAGGTTGAATAAGGATGGTGAAAGAGTACAACCCTGGCTCACACCTTTCCTATTTTTAAACCATTTGGTGTTCTCTTGTTTTGTTCAAACAACTGCCTCTTGGTCTATGTACAGGTTCCTCATAAGCACAAGTGTTCTGGAATACTCATACTTTGCAATGTTGTCCATAGCTTGTCATGATCCACAAAATCAAAAGTCTTTATCTAGTAAGTAAAGCCCAGGTAACCATATTTCTGGTATTCTCTGCTTTCAGCCAAGATCCATCCAATATCAGCAATGATATATCCCTTATTCCATGTCCTTTCCTGAATCCCCTTTGAATCTCTGGGAGTTCTCTGTCAATTTACAGTTGCAGCCAATTTTGTATTATCTTTACCAAAATTTTACTTGCACACAATATTAATGATATTGTCTGATGATTTCCACATTGAGTTGG